GGCCGACCCAAGTTGCAGCCAATTATTACCTATTATATAACCACTATTTTTTCATTCATAGTGTGCTTTTCATTTGTTTTATCGTAAAAAAAATTGAGTTTATTTTTCAAGTAACATGTGAGAATGTGTTGACCAGCCTTGTCCCTTAGCAAGCTCGTGTTTGGTGCGGGGCGAGTATTGGTATTGAGATACCCACCCCACCCCACTCATTTTTCATCATTACGCTCCATAGGCGGGGGAAGGGCGAGCAAGAGTACTCTCCTCGACCCGTCTTATTCTGGGCCCCTTTTACCAGAATTACATGTAATTTTACTAAAATTATTTAGGATTTTACTTTTATTACTTCATACTTTAGCTATATAGGTGAGAATCTCAATTTCTTGAATAATGTAACTAAATTTAACAGGTTGTAGTTTGTTTATTGATTTATTTTAATATAAAATGAATTTTTCTTATATTTTTCCTTTAAATTACATACTCGTATGGGTAGACTTGCCCTGACCCATGCACCATGATAAACTACCCGATCTGCCACGAGGCAGGTAAGGTATCGAGATACACACCCCGGCCTGCCTCATTGTCATTCCTTGTAGACCGAAATGAAATATCGAATAATTTTTTTTATAAGGGTGATATAGGTTCGTTTTTATTTATAGGTATGCTACTTAAGGATTTGAACCCGAAACCTCTACATTAAAAACCAGTGGTATTATCACCAAACCAACCAAATAAATTAATATAATCAGCAAAGACTGATGGTGAAAACCAGCTGTTAATCACCCTATATATTATTAATGGTCGACTGACTCCCCCTGTGAAATAGTAACACACAACTGCATGCACCGTAACCAATGTACTTAAGTTTCTGTTTGAAGCATCTCCTCTCCTGCTTAGGGAACTTAACTTACGTTAATTGTTGTTATATTCTTCATTTCCATTTGCTTAGGGAACACAAATATATATACTTTTGAAAGACTAATTCATTCAAAAACTATAACAGCTTTGGGTTATGGTGCAGAACAAGAAGGTCAGAATTGCACGTGAAGCTCTCGTGTTCTGCAATGCGATTGCCTCTCCAAGACTCCACAGTCCACACTTCCATCCTCTCAACGTATATACAACAATACTTTTTGGTTGTTTCTCTTCGAAACATATATCTCAGTTCTCTTAGCTCTCATAATAATAATATAAGTTAATTTCTCCATTACTCTAATTATATAATAATTTGATTCCATTTTTGGTGTAATATATATTCACTAACATAAGCATGCAGCTTCCTTTGGTCACTCGCTTTCCAACTTGTTACAATCATTAATGTTCGAATTGGCGCCCATGTTGTAGTTAATTATGATCTCAATAATTAAACCATTCTTCGAAAATGGAAACTCATACATGAATATGCGAGTTTCGTACGTACTATCTTATTAACACAAACACAATAATTATTAGTTCGACGCAAAGGTGAAGTGCGCTGTTGATTAACGATGGCGTTACCTCATCATACTTTTGACATTGCATTTTAATTAATAACGCTGATTAATCAATTAAGGTTCGTACGAGCTGAGCAGTGGTATAAACATGTGACTGCAAGCTAGCTAGCTAGCTGAAGCTGATCACTGTGCATGCCAATTACAACAAGTGTTTATGATTTGCAGCCAGCAAGATTGATGCTGTCATATATACATTTGTTTATAGTTTACAATATTATTTTTGGGCACGATCCACATGATGATCATCATGATTCATCAAGTTCCTCTTAGGCTGTATATGTCTATGATTATCGATCTATTCATTAGTTGGGTATTTGCTATAGCAACTTCACGTAATTATGGGTTTCAGTAGCAGTATACGTGTCTATTTGCAGGCATTTGTCCAGACATTGCAATCTTAATTAAGGTGATAGATCAAGGTAGCATTATTAATGCAGTAGCTCTGTTTTTCTTCCAGGAAATTTCAGCTGCGCTACCGAATAATTATTGGAGTGATCATACATTTGACGCTCATTCAAGCTGTATATGGTTGAGTAGTTTGGGTTGCTTTAATTTTCATGCAAGTCATACATCATTTAAAATGTTAATCTCCGAAAAATTTATTGACTTAATGATTTTAATTAATCACCATAAAAGAAAGCTTCATGCTCTTTCATTTCTAATATACCATTCACTATAAAATATAAATAGTACAAGGTTGTCCAATTTGAGATAAACCTCTATTATTAGGATTGTCATGTCATATATATGGCTTTATCTTTGATGCTAATAGCTTAAAGAGACATAATCAGATAGGTACGTACTTCTATAAATTGTCTAAAATTAAAACATCTTCTTATCATTAAGCCACACTCCTTTTGGCTTGAATGGTCACACCCTTGATGAGTGATAACTTCATTACAATGGCGAAGTTAACATGTAGTCAATTGGAAAAAGTTAATAGGCTCACAGGTGTTTTTTGTGAGTATATACTCACACGATGAGGATGGAGGCTTTATGGGCGGAGTTGAGATCCAAGGGCTAAGGCTCAGTGGCTCAATGAAAGTACTCATTTTGATGGTTTTAGTTGAGGGTTAAGCCAGTCGATAGAACTAGTATCGAGTCGAGAAAAACTAATATCCAAAATAAAAATATTAGTATCTAAGAGATGATAATTTTTCTATTTTCTTTATTTTGAAAATTATGTTCTCTTCTCTCTAGGAATTTCTATCAGATTTGGTTTTGCTCATCTTTGGATCATTGGAGTTTGGAGTGCCTCTAATGGAGATATGATGTTGCGAGGTCTGTTCCTTGTGGTAGGCTTTTCCTCTTTGGAGATTGTTCTTTTTTGTTGGCTTTCTAGATTTTTTGGTAGATCGTTGTTATTTAATGCCATGGGTATACCAAGGTAAAATTCTCACCTTGGACATTCTACGGCAACGAGGTTGGTGTTTACCCAATCACTGTTGCATGTGTCTGCAAGCAAAGGAATCATCAGATCACTTACTACTTCATTGCACCTATGCAAGTCAAATCTGGAACTTTTTTTCTCTCGTATACAGTTGGAAGGACCAAGACCCCAACATTGCAGAAGTCTTCTTATTGAATGGAGCAGTTTTTCAAGGGGTTGTTGCTTTTGGAAAGTAGTGAAGTTGTTGCCCTTAATCATATTTTGGCATTTGTGGATTGAAAGAAACTCCAGAATTTTCCAGGATGAAGCACACAATGCGAACACTGCCGTCAAGACTATTAGTCGAATAGTTTGCAGTCTCACTATGGTTCATAAACTTATCCCCGCTGAAGATAGTTGTGCTCTTCATTCCATATTCTTTGGAAACAACTCCATTCCATTCCAACCTCCTTGAACTAATTACTAGTTTTACTAGCCTTGCTTCCTTTGACTATTTTCTTCTTTGTATCCATTTTGGTTATATTTTGGAGTTAGTCCACTACTTGTGAACCCTCCTCTTTTCAATTGAATACAACTACTCATTCATAAAAAAATGCCATGGATACCAGTTCATAAATGGATTTTTTTGCATGAATACTAGTTATGTTCAATATGGATACTCTTCTGTGTTATCTGGATATCAGTTCATGAATGTGGAATACGTATTATTTTCATGTTGGATATCATCTAGCAAACCTTGAATACTAGTTGTGGTGAATGTGGATATTAGTTCATAACTGATTGTCTTTATACTAATTTTGTGATGTATGGATACTCTTATGTGTTGTATGGATATTAGTTTGTGAATGTGGGGCTCTCTGGATATTAGTATGTGCTCTCATGTCATGTATACGTGGATATAAGTTAGCAAACCTTGAATACTAGTTGGTTTAATTGTGGATATTAGTTGGTATTTGATTGGTTGAATGTCGTTCTATAAGTTTGGATACTAGTTTTTGCTTTATTTAATTTAGTTCATTAAAACGAAATTCTGCCAAGTGTTCAACAAAGCATGGATATACTTCAATACAGACGGATACTAGATTGAGAGATACGAATATTAGTCTGGAATGGTTTCTCTCTCCCATGTCAGAATAGTTGGTGGGTGGCATTAAATACTGCATTTGTGATACTAGTTTTTGAGTTTTGGATACTTTCTCTCGACTAACTTGGCTCTCAGTCGAGAAGCCACTAAAATCCACTTAAATAAGCCCTTTCTTGAGCCATTGAGTCACAACCCTTGGATCTCAGCTCTGTCCATGTGGCCTCCATCCTAACCGTGTGAGTATATACCAAGGTTTATACCACTGCTCAGGGCTTGTTATTCTAAATCGTTCCTCATTCTAAATCCTCCAAAATTTAGTTTCAATCTGAAAAGTTGTGCAACTTATTATTTTCAACTCCTCTTCACTCTAAATCCTGACTTTGCCACGGATTCGTGGGTATACAAAATCACTTGATTACAGAATAAAAGCCTCTGTCTCATTTGATCGATGTAGCTAGCTTTGTATTCGGTTAGACATACCATTCGTGCTATATGCAGGAAATTTGTGAGGAGTTGTTTAAAGGATGAAGAAGGGATTAGGTGGCAGCTACCATGAATTGTGGTGTGCACAAAATTTGAGGGAATGGGATGGAATTGGAATGCACGGAGTTTATGTATCGATCGTCGAGATGCAGGAAACATGGACTGCTGTAACCCTGGACAGGAATTTCGGCTAACTAGCTAGTTAGATTATCGTTTGTCGTTTTGGATGCAGGACAAGTCCTTTTCCTTCTCATCAGCAGCTTTCCTTGTTTGCCTCCCTCCTTCCAGGGCTTTGTATTCAACGCAGCAGAAACAGAAATGCGCCGGCCTTTAACAAACAGATCTTACTAATATGTCCAATAACTCTTTTCAGGATAACTATTTTTCAAGGATGGAATCGGAGATATCTAGACGCGTGCTCTACATTAATTTGGGACATGCTGCTTCAGTGCAACCAAAATGAGTTTTCAGAAACTGCCCACATCAATAAAGGAACTGGCCGTGCCAGTCTTGGTAGCTGCCTTGAGGAACATAACCAGGAAATTTCCAGACAATTGATGCCTAAACATTATTAAACAGCACTGAAACAACATGAATGTTGAGAACTGTGAAAGAGATGATTTAAGAAATGCTTTTATGTAGCTGTTGCATTTCCATCAACTTCACTTCCGATGACTGTCATTGAAACTGATAAAGTCAAGGATTACACGTGCGGTCAAAAGATTCCAGGTCTGTATCCCCCTACCCTCATAGATTCCAGTTAATTTCTTTCATATTCAATTCAACCTCTACTGTATACCATCAGTCTCTGAACCCATACATATAAACAAACCAAGGAGAGAACTTTACAAGGGGGAAGAGAAAGAAGGCACTACCACCCTCAGATCATCTCTTCAAGCGACATCAGTGGTTGTGTTGATATGGTGACAATTGTGTAAATGATGCCAAATAGTTGAAATTTCACAGGCTGGTCGGACAGTGTCAGCCTGTACTCACACACCCTGTATCAGCATAGTAGCCAAACCTGAGAAGAAGGGAGTAGCATCACTATCATTATGTACAACGTCGCTTCATTCCTCTTTTGGGATCCACCTGCTCCACCATATGCTCTTCCTGCGTTGGTTCAGATCACCCACGCTCTCATTCAACGTCTTCAGTAACTTTCTCTGCAGCCTAAGAGCTGATGCAAGAGCATTCCTTTGTCCATTTGCCTTCTTCCTAGGCTCTTGCCTTTCCTGCAAGCAAGCAACCAAACACAAAAAACTCATTTTCAACACTTGAAACACACGACAGGTAATTGAAAAGGGTTGGTTCATGGACAGCCATGCTCACTCTCAGTTCCTGAAGCTGGGCTTCAGTGAAGCCTCCGTCTTTCTCCGTTCCGGATTTTGCCATGAGCTGAATGATCCAGTTGACAGCTTCACTATAATCCTGTTGCGTGACTCGAATGAGTCGCAACCTCAGGTTCTGCATTACTGACAAAGCTAATAGCTCTTCTTTGTTGAAATAGGGATGGGCTAGAGCTCCTTTGGCACTTATTCTCTGGCGTGCTTTGTATCTCACCATCGAGGTCAGAAGTTCCCATCCTATCCCGCCATCTAAATCGAGCAACTCGAACCCTTTCCTGAGTTCTGGGCTTGCACGCGGTTCTGCGCTTTTCCTCCATGCAACCAAGTCATAGTCGCATCTCTTTAGTTGACGGTTGAATTGTATGAGATTGCTGTCAGTTCTTAGGCCCGGAAACGCCTATAACAAAAGAAGATTTCATATGGATTGGAGCATACTCAAGGAGATGTATCAAATTATATTCAAGAACATCAGGATGCAAAATACTTTGCCACTTAAAAATATCCCAGCAACAACACTAAATGGTGGGTTTGTTTTAGCTTTTTTTGTTCTTATTAATAAGCTGAAACAAAACAAGCCTCTGTCTTACCATTTGTAGGAACATCAAACCAGTACTGTAGATGTCGAATCTATCAGGCAAATTTAGCTGCATAGCCACAAGGAAACCAAAGCCAAGAAGCATATTAGTTATCTTGGTTTATTCAAATGAAGCTGAACCATTTCTTTAATCTTTCTCTCTATGACATGGCGTGGATTCTTGGGGCTAGACCTGCCATAGGACTGGGGACAGTGCAGTAGCTACAGGAGCAGACGGGGCAGAGGGAGTTTGTGTGCTCATGATGTATTGCTCTGGAGCAGCATACCTGAGAGGCAGCAGTCGATCATAAAAGCCACGAATAATACTGTATAAACTAAATCTTAAATGAAAATGCTGAGAAGTACCTAGGATCCAAAAGAAACTCATTTGGAATATAGTTAATCCCGACTCTCAAATCTGCAGCAGCTCCAAGATCAATGATCTTGAATGTCCTTGACCCTGCAAGTTTTCAGCATACAAAAGTGTAAATTATGTCATCCAAAATAGGTAGGTACAAATAACCCCATCGTCTATGGGAAGTCCAAGGAAATTATCACCTTCAGAGAAGATGATATTCTGTGGCTTGATGTCCCTATGCACAATCCCAGTGGAGTGAAGGCCATCTAAGGCAAATAAGAGCTGCCTCATCACAGTCTGGATGATTCTACTTTCCCTTTCTATCCCTTTAGGCAAATCCTGAACCTTCCCTAGAATCAATGTCTCAACCTGCCATTGACAATATAATTAAAGACTTATACCGGATCCAGAATACAACATTCCTCATGAACTGCAACTATTTCAAGTGTATATTAGAGATAATAAATAAAAAAGTGTATATTAGAGGTACTGAAAGAGCGTACTAAGTACTAACATTGTAGGGGAACTCTTTGCTTTTCATTAAATCATAGAGAGTAGCCTCCCCTTCAAACCTCCATAGAAGCCAATATTCACTGCCTTTCTTTGAAGAGCTCTGAGAATTAGTTCCAAGATTGCGATCCCAAATGGCCAAAGCATGAATCAAATGTGAAACAACATTAAGGTACTTCGATAAAATTGATTACTCTCATGAGATAGTGATACTTAGTGTAGTCAATTTTCATAGTAGAGCAAACACCTCAAGGAATCCATACAAGTATTCAGCACAACTGCTAGCACAAGCTCTTCGAACTCTTTCGTTCATCCAAATTTCCACTGCTCCATATTCAGTTGCCTTTTTCAACACAAGGTCGCCTCCCCTCTGCCATATCAACCACCATATCAACAACAAGAAAAAACCACCACAGCTCATTGTTTTTCTCAATAAGTTGATCGATTTATAAACACGGTTTTCACAGAGGAATTTCAACACAAGGTCACCTCCCCTCTGCCATAACAACCACCATATCAACAACGACAACAAAAAACCCATAACGGCTCATTGGGTTTCTCAATAAGTTGATCGATTTATAAACAAGGTTTTCACAGAGGAATTTCATCAAACAGTTGGAGAGTACCTTCTTCGAAGAAGGTTTATCCAGCGAAACTTTATAGACCACCCCAAAAGCTCCTTCTCCCAACTTCTTCCCCAGAACAATTTCATCCTGAAAACCAATCCCTAACCTTGATAACCATCGCCAGCACAATCAAAAGCTAACGAAGCATAAGAAAAAAGACTACCTTTTTATAACTGGGTCTGAAGAGTCGCTCGATGAAAGCAAGCACAAACATATCATAGAAACCAGGAGCCACGCCAGGGGTAGCCCAAAGGTAAGACACGACGCTGAGAGCTAGAGCAACGCCAGGAACTGTGATGGTTAGCGCACTAGACTTCGGCAGAGTGCTTCTGTAAATGATATCCCCACACTCCATCACTGTGCAGGGCAACCCAACACCAACGCCCAGAAAGAAATTGTGCACCAAACTAACCAATTCATGACTTCCATCTACTCCCACTGACGCCAGAACTCCGATTCCGCCTCCTGCTCGTCTGGGATTAGGGATAGCTTTGTTCCTCGAACTGGGTTTGATGAGATTGAGCTGACTTTGGCCTAGAAATGAAGATTGGAGCTTGTTATTGGGCTTGAGGGTCTGGAGTTTCACTTGTACAACGCCGGCAGCGCCTCCGCCGGAAGCCACGGCAGCCATGGCCGTGCAAGTTCAAAGCGGTTCGCAAGTAAACTTTTCCACCACCACTTTCCGCGGAATTTCTTTTGTATTCGTATTCCAGGCTCTGATTATTTAGGCACTGTTTCAGAATTATAGTGGACAGTTATGACGGGTAATTTTTGTGGACGACGAAGGCACGAGAGGAGATTGTAAGTCTGAACTCTGAAGGCGCCACGATTGACACGTCGATACGTGGGAATTGGGCTGGGCTTCAGTAACGTGGACCAATCATAGCTGTGTTACCGTAGTATTAGCCTTTCTTTTTGGGTGTATCCGTATGATGGGATCGAGTGAGGTTGGGCTCATGGTTTGTCTTAATCGGGCCACTTGTGGATTGTGTTGAAAGGCTTTCTACATGCAACAAAGGAACCTCTTAAGTCTTATCAGCTAAGCAATAATCATGATGGCTACAAACTATGAGTGACATCTTAGGACAAAATCACTTACACAATTCTTGGTGTCAAATGGATGGAGAATTCATTTCATTGTAAAATGAAGGCAAAATACACTTTCATAGTCATAATTATTCGCGTTGTGACAATAATAACCACTTTTCGAAAAATACACTGATATAGCCATTTCGTCCATAACTTTAACGATTTCCTCACTACTGCTGACTATACAAATGATTGTTTATGACGTGGCCGAATTTCATCTACGTGGCAAAGGTGGAATATGTTTTTTAATTTATTGATTAAAAAAATGGTCAAATGTAACTTTACCAATTAATCAACAATTTTGATTTACTTTTACCATTTCGTTTCTCTCCTTCTTCTCGGTGAAACCCCTCCACCTTCACTCTAGATCGACGACGAGTTTCCACGGCTCCGTCAATCCCCCTGTCGTACCCACCAACTCCGTCACTGACCAGGTCAACCCACCATCCACAACGACAAACGTCGCCGCCAATGCTCCCGTCGTGCTCAGCCACTCCCTCGCTGACCAGAAGCATGGCTAACCCACACACATGACTATATGACTTCCCCTCCTCCACAATCCTTGCAGTTCCTTCACCAGATCCGATCTGGCGACAACCTCCCTCCATAGACGCGTCAACGCATGCTCTTGCTCTGCTATCGGCGTCGCCACTGTGGTCGGCGGCTCTAGTTCACCTCCATCATCGGGAGGTTCGCAGCCACCTCCGTTGATGGCGTAGATGGAGCTCGACGACGCCTAAAACCTCCCTTGCCCCCTCCATCACTCCCCCGCCACTCATCGTCATCATCCATCGTCGAATCTATCACTACCCAAATTTTCCTTGGATCGCCTAATTAATCATCACCTGTATCCAGATGGCCAGATATCTCCACCGTGACGGAGATGTCGTCGTTGATTTTGGATCTGCTGATTCTCTCTTCCTTACCTCTCTCACAGCAGTTGGAGCTCTAAATCGATTCGTAGGTGCCTTCCAGCTTTGTCTCCGCCACCCACTCATTTGTATTCGGTTTATGATGCAGTGGAGATGCATCACCCCCATCATGGCGAAATCGAGTAATTGATGGGGAAAGAGAGGGATTTAAAGATAGGAGTTATGGTTTTGGATCTGCTGAAGAAGGTTGAAGGAGGAAGACAAGCAGCGCTGGTGGGAAAGGGATTTGGGGAAGGAACGAAAGAGTACAGATTGCATATAGTGAATAAATTATTGAAATAAGTGATCTACAGTCGTGCCTACTTTGACCTCCCAGATCCATATCAGAGAGAGAAAGAGGAAATAAAATAAACAATTTTTTTCTTTCTAAAATTTTATTTGATTTCTTTTGTAAAATTAATGATTTTTTTGTTAAAATTACTTTTTATATGATGTGGCATCTAGGTGGCATAAAGACGTCCAGTTGGTGATGATGTGTCGTCCAGATGGCATCCACCTCAGCGACACGTGGAGGTTACTATCGGCGTTCGTAACGACGTTAAAGTTTGTAACAAAAATGGCTATAGTTGTCAAGCAAGTTTGAAAAAGTGGCTACATTTGTGCATTTTTCAAAAAAGTGTCTATTATTGTCACAACGTGAATAATTATGCTATGAAAGTGTATTTTGCCTAAAATGAATTATCGTGTAGAATTCATTGTCAAATGAAATATTGTGTTTGTTATGTCATATTCAAATCTTTAGAAATAGAATGAATTGTCGTGTAAAATTCATTGTCAAATGAATTCCTCTGTTTGGTATGTCATATGTATAAGTAATTTAGTTATAAAAGAGCACTCTATTATAATTAGCAAATAGTTGTGAAATTCATTTGAAAATTCCATCTCAATTCCTCGGAATTGCTATAACTAGTTCCAATTCCATGGAATTCAAAATTTAGAATTGAAAATATATTCTTTTAAATACCAAACACAAAAGTGTTTCATTCCAAAATGAATTTCTTAAAGCTTATGGAATTCTTTATACCAAACGGTATGTTAAAGTAGAGAATTAACTCTAGAATTGGTGGCTAAGAATAAACCAAATGATGGCCGGTTATAATTTTTTTTTTTTTTGACAAAAGATAATCGTATTGATTGATAAGAGATAAGAGATCGTTACATCCTGGAATTAAGTCAGGACTGAAAATCAAAGAACCGACTCATAGTCGGATACAAAGTGAGGGCTTTTCGAGCCAACAACCCTTCACCCAGAAAATCCATTCCCGAATACTCCCACAAAGTTCGCGCCACCGGGCAGTCCAAAAACAAGTGCTCCATTGTTTCAGACTCCGCCCAGCAAACCGGGCATCGAGGGAGCACCGTAACCTCCTTTTCCCGCAAGGCCTCCGTAGTTGGGAGGATCCGATGGAATAACTGCCAGACAAAGACTTTGAGCTTAGGCGGAATATTGGCCTCCCAAAGTCGAATCCAACTGGCCTTATACATCCAACTAGCCATAGATCGCCAGCGCCCTTGCTGCTTATCAAGAGTAACCGCAAGCTGATAAGTCGACTTAACAGTGAAAATACCATCAGGAGAGTTATGCCAAATGAGGCGATCCTCCACACTTTGCCATGGAAGGGGAATAGCTTTAATTGCCGCACAGGTAGCCGGGTCAAACCACTGACTTAGCTTGACATAATTCCAACGCCCTTCGCCCTGACAGATGACCTCCTCAACCTTAGGGTCCCCTCCTACCGGCAACACCCGAGGGTTAGCGACGAGGGGCCAAGGATGGGATTGAGGAACCCAGTTGGACTCCAGCAGAGAAGGCGTCCTCCCGTTCCCAATCTGCCACCACAACCCCTTCTCCAGCAGTTGGCGTCCGTATAAGATACCTTGCCACCCCCAAGAAGGGCGAGACCGCGCTGTTGCTTTAAGAAAGGTCCCATTAGGAAAGTACTTCCCTTTATAGACTTGAGCCAGAAGGGAATGAGGTTCGTTGAGAATCTGCCAACCAATCTTTGCCAACAAAGCCTGATTGAATTGTTCAAAGCGACGGAACCCCATCCCCCCATCATGCTTACTTTTGCACATATTCCGCCAAGATATCCACCTGATCCTTGGTTGCCCCTCAACAGCCCCCACCAGAAGCGAGCCACATGCTTGTCGAGGAGCCGGCAAAGAGACAGGGGAAGTTTGAAGCAGGACATAACATGCAAGGGTAGCGCTAGAGCAATCGACTTAATTAGAGTCTCCTCTGCTGCCCATGACAACGTCCTCTGCTTCCATCCCTGAAGTCGCTCAAGAAATTTTTCTTCCAAGTACCGGAAGGTATCCATTTTGGATCGGGAGAAGAGCGTTGGAAGGCCCAGATACTTATCATGGACGCCCACCGCACCCACACCCGTAATCTGAGCCAAAAACTCTTGATCCGGCAAACGAATATTTTTACTAAAGCATAACGCTGATTTAGCCAAATTAACCTTTTGACCACTAAGTTCCTCGTACTCATTCAGGACCTCAAGTAAATTCTCACATTCCTAGAGAGATCCACGCAGGAACAGATAAGAATCATCAGCAAAGAATAAATGAGAAATCATGGGAGCACGAGGAGCCACCTTATTGCCTTCTAGCTTTTTCTCCTAAATGGCCTTACGCAAGAGCGCCGCAAACCCCTCTTTGCAAATAACGAACAGTAATGGAGATAAAGGGTCTCCTTGTCTGAGCCCCCGGGACGGGGAGAAGTAGCCTGACGGAGTGCCATTCATCAGAACCGAGAACGAGGTGGATCGGAGGCATTCATGTTTTCCAAACCGAACTGAAACCCATCTTGTCCAAAACCGCAAGAAGAAACGACCATTCAACACTATCATAGGCTTTTTCCATGTCAACCTTTAGAGCCATGAACCCTTTCTTACCTCGCGTTTTGATTTTCAAGTAATGCATCAATTCGTGTCAGAGAAGGATATTTTCTACTATTTGTCGTTCCCGTATGAAGGCGTTTCGACCCTCGGATATGGTTTGAGTCAGGATAGCAGCCAATCGCCCAGCCATGATTTTGGTAATAATTTTGTACACAAATTGGCATAAACTGATAGGTCGTGATACAACCCTGGATTGCCTCCTCACCAAGCTGGAATTACTTGCTCAAGAAGGTAACCCAAATTGTTTGAACAATATTGAATTTTGGCTAAGTCTTTGGACGAGTTCAGGAAGGGTACTTTGCGAGCTCGGTTCTTCTCATTGGAGCAATGGAATGGAGAGTTTGGAAGTTTATTTTAAATTTCAAGTGCTCGTCTATGTGCTGGAGGCTTGGTAGTTCAAGGCGAAACTTGGAAGGACCATTTTCAGGCTCGACAAAATGGGATCTCGATACAGGAAAACAGGCTGAATCTGCCTAAGTGTAAAATCGAGTCCAGAGAGGCTACTTTGACGTGCTATCCTAGGCGGGTGATTGAGCTTCGAGTTAGGGGCTTCATACCCCATGAATCTATGCACTTTAATCTACAGAGAAGAGGCGTTGGATGATTGAAAGTGCACCTGGAAGTCATCAGTCGAAGGCCTCAAAGTTTGCATCCAGGCTGTTGGTGACGTCCAGCTGCAGAAAAGAGTTTCTTTCCTTAAGTGTTTCGGATTGCTATTTCCTTTTGTGTTTCAGCTTAGGTTTTCGAGTTGTAATAGGATTATGATGATTTCCCTTGTTCACGAGGCTAGCTAGGTTCTATTTAAGCTTTAGTTTGTGTTGTAATTGAACCCACGTTTTAATCAAATCAACTTTTGTGTTCATCGAGTCATTCTCGTGAATTGTCCTTGGTTGTGTGGAATTGATTCCACTGAACAAGCGAGCTCAGCATCGGTCGATCATCACCTCGATCGTGGATGAGTTGCGACGATAGTTCGATCGAGCCTCTTCCCAATTCTTGGCGAGAAGTTGCACGTTCGGCATCCATCTTACCATCAACCCCTGTTTTGGCTTCCATCGGAGCTCAGTTGTTGTGAATTCTCGAAGCTGCTCGACTCTGATCAAGAAGCTCGAGGGTTGGAGCTTATCAAGTGGCATCATCGCCTGGTTCAACACAGTGGATACGACGCATTGGACAAGGTCTAAAGGACCTGTGTCCAGTGACCCTGCCATTCGTCGACAAAATCAGAGGAAGAAACAGAGTCTGGAGTCGAGGCTAAAATCAATGACTTCGACATGGCTGGGGAGCAAATTAACATGACCGAGGTGCTGCAAACATTCAGGGCAGAGATGGGAGTTTTATTCCAGGCCCAATTCGACAGGCTGGATAAAAAACTCAAACGCCAATCTCAACGGCTTGATGCTCTGGCACCACCGGAGAATGCCCTGGGTAACGCAGGAAACAGAGCCAGGAACCACAATGACGAGATTCCGCAGGTCCTGGCAACTCGAATCCAGAATTTGGAGCAGCGAGTCATCGCGGCCGAACCCAAACGAGGCTATGAGAGGAGGGAACCTGACGTTGATCAGGGCGTTGTGTCTGAATTGCGGGGAATCAAGCTCGTGATTCCGACGTTCCAAGGAACGAACAACGCTTCTGCATATATGGACTGGGATTGCAAGATTACCTTGTTCTTTCAATGTGAAGAATACACGGAACCGCAAAAGGTAACTCTCGCAACTTACGAATTCTCTGATTATGCCGCACAGTGGTGGGAAAAGATTCAACTCC